GGACTGTCCGGCACGTAATACCGCATCCCAAGATCAGGTGGATAGGAAGAGCTCCGTGTGGCATGCCACGCACGTATCCTGCGATGTGGCAGAGATAGGGAGTCACCACCTAGTCTTGTTATTGTTATGACGGCTGAATGTTTTTCCCTGGCTCAACCATCTGCTTGTGATGGTCAAAGGATATCGCCACGGAGGATAATGCGTCCGGCATGTTAAGCAATTGAGCCTTTTGTCTGGCACAAACATTGATTAGCCTGATGCTCTCCAGCAATTCGATTGCAATCAGGCTGAGATATGAGGAGAATAAATTAGTTTTCACTTGATCGACCCTTGTCTACTTTATAATAACAACTACTTTGCATATTAGAGAAAATGGCATAACTTCAGAGGTCTAAGGCTGATAATGAATAAGAATAAACCTGCTTCCTAGTAACTTTCCCAAGGATAATAGCTCACTGATTTAGTCATCTCCTGAGGGCGTCCAAATCAGGTGACTAAACATTTTCCATTCAGTGAGCTCCTTTTATGAGTCTGCGACCCCTCCTCAACAAAAGATTTTAGATATTCCAACGCCTCGAAGGTGACTGTGGACTCAATTGTTGCTCGAAAATAAACCGCTCGTCATGGGGCGGGCAAAGTTTGGCTACGCTTTCAGCTGATTAAGAACAAATTTGATATAAATAAGTGGTGAAAACAACTCGGCACAATTTAACGCTTTGTTGCGGTCAAGTAACTTTAGAATTCCAGTGAGTGAGCAGGGCCATCTACAAACAAACACAAAAAAAAGTAAATGAAAACAAGTGCAGAGTAATGAAAGAAAAAGCATGAAGACGCGTCGACATGAAAGGGAATTCTTCAGCGTGTTTTTAAGCCGATTTGATTCTGCGGTGAGAGGAACCACAAAATGCTGTAACAATTTTCAAGCTAATTTTTTCTCTACTGCGTACGGTTTTGGCCGTTCCGTACCAATGGCATTTTGATTAACTCGATGATGAGGCAGTCGTTGAAGAAGGAGGATAATGACCTTGGGATGCCATCTCACCATCTTCATTCACGTTTTCTTCCCCCCAAAAGCCATCTGCGATCTCCTCCTGGCTGCGGTTAGATGGCCAACTTAATAAGCAAGATATCCTCGAAGGTGGCTGAGAAAGCGGATTCCGGCTCACTGCGCTTTTGGCAAGGCTCCGAAAGCCAAGCCATGTTAATGCCAATATCTTACTCAACTTTGCAGGCCTTGCCTTCGGGCGAAAGCCACTTAGGATTATAGCTACACTTCTTAGCCGATTACTATGAAGAGAGACTTAATATTCTGAAAGTGAAGTGGCAGCTGGGATGAGAGTATATGAAAGTAGCTTCCTAGCTGACCAATCGAATATATGTTTCTAGTAACTAAGTTGACATAATAGGAGTGTCAATACTTGATAATTATAATTTTTATACTTATAGGTTACGATTACTTACTATCATCATGAAAAACCACTTTTGTAATATCATTTTCAAATTTTTTTAATCAAGTTCCCCAACCCACCCATTCTAAATTTTCCAACCGAATCGAAGTCTAATTCAAATTTCGTAACCGCCGTCATTTTTGACAGCTCATTAAAGACAACCGATATTACGTTGGACCGCTCACGGTTCGACTTATATGCAGGCAACTTTCACAACGCACTCCGGGTGGCAAGTGAATCAGTCAAAATCGATCGTGCCACTAACTGACCGATGGCCTGATTGATTGATTGATTGATCGAAGGCACGCGCTATAATTGCCGACGTGCTTGCCCCGCTGAGATATACACGTTTTTCGGGCTAATATCAACTCTAATTTTTTATTAGCGTTTCGACCACATAAACTTCCGCTGTTAGTTAGCCAAACATGGCTTTAAATGAGCTGGCATTTGCATTTCAGTTTGGGATTAAAGCGCTTGATTTATACAATGACTATCCCGCATTGAAATTGAAATCGAAATTGTGTGACTCTATTCCGATTCAGTTGTTTTCGCGGACCTTGAAAATCTAACAAACGCAACGAACTGTGATGGGATCTCTGCTGATCTCATTTATTCCGGGCGTCAGTCAAATAAATTCCAGTTAACTGGTGCATTGAGAGTTGTGTGAGCTTGGGAACTTGGCCAAAATGGCAATGTGTGTTTTTCCGCTCACCTTGGGGAGCCATTTAAGGCCGCAAAGCTTCACGGTATAAGGATCTGATTATTTATGGCTTTCCTGATTTTTCATGGAAATATATGTATAGCCTCGGTTAGTTTCTAAAATCATTTACAATTCACTTGTACTGCATATTTTTGTGCAGACCTTCAAAGGTTATGCAAATTTAGATGGCATTTCTTCCTCTGAAAAGCGGCATATGCATATTAAAAGTGTCATTGGTAAGTTGAATACCAAAATTAGTCCATCTTGGAAGAAGGGGAATTAAGCCAACTACCTGGGGATTCACCTTCAAGGACACGTGCAAGGTCAGCGAGGGGGGAGGGGGTGGTGGTTTTTCACAAACCAAATGCAAAATCTTTAGGCAGATAAAAGGCCATGGAAAATAGTCGAGCACGAGCCAACGCGGAAACAAATAAAAATCAACAGGATTAAATATGCAGCTCTACGTGGCCCCCGCTTTTTCTATGGTCCCCGCCCGGGCTTTAGCCTTGTGCCCTGCCTTGAATGCGGAGTCTGCGGCCAATCTGTTACATTTTGTCATGGCTTCCATTCAGCCCCCATCCCAGAGCCTTCCTCCTGGCCAGCCCACCATCCAGCTCCCCATCTCGAGTGTCCTTCGCACGTTTTACCTTCAGCTGGGACACTGGGCCGTAAATGCGACTGCCTCGGCTGTTTTTACACTCTCAGCCGGGCTCTGAAGTGGATTCAACAAGTCTAGGGGTAAGAGAAGGGATCTCAACTATCAAATACCTCGTAGGGTATACATCAATCTATACATAAAATTAAGCTCTTATTTATAAAAACATGTTATAAAATATTAAACAAATAGAAAAATATGTTTGCTGGGTGAATAAACTTTGGTTTTTAAGAATTAATACAGTTCACAAAACTAAGAAATCAAAACAGAATTTAACTAAAAATATATCAAAAATTAAAAAGATAATTTTTTTGGAATGTTAATACTTTTGTTTTTAAGAATTTTATAAGAATTTTATTTATAATATTTATAATATAAATTTATTCTTATTATTAGAGCGGCTTAAAAATTTGAATAAATAATAAAAAAAAAACAAAGTTGTTTCCACTTTGTAATGACGTTACCTAGAAAATAACTAAAATTATTTCATCAAAATGAAAGCCGTCGTAAAAAAATAAAAAAAATAGTTCACGGATGTTCCAAAAACTCAAAAACATTTATAAATACCAATACATTATAAATTTCAATATTGAATATTCCAAGAAAACAAGCCAAATATTTTTTAAATACTATTAAGTCAAATACATTTTTCTACAGTAACCAAAGTACTTTAATCCATTATTCCATCCTGTCCAAAACTTTCAATCGTTTTTACACAGAACAGCAAGTGCTTTTATGCTCTCCCGCGGACATCCCCCTGTCAGGGAGATTTAAAAATTTATTTCCCACGCTTGTCGGAAGCGGATGCCGAGTGTTTTGCGCCACCAGACACCAAATGAGTTGGCACGGCCTCCATGTCATTTTCACTCTAAGCGCAGGAGATTGGTTGTAAGGAGCTCGTTTTGCTCGGGGATCCAATGAAAAATTTAAACTTTTACAATTAAAGCGAAGGCGAAATGGGAACTTCGGGCAGCTGCAACATGTGGCGCATAAATTGGTCCCCCTTTGGTATCCCTCGGAACTTGGATTGAAACGCTTCCTGCGCATTAATTCAATTCTAGCCACATGCTACATTTCAGAATCGAAAATAGAACGTTTGCCAGTTGTACGACTTGCATAATTCAAACGTATGCCACATCTCTCTGTACTTTTACCCCACGTTCTGCTAACCAAATTGAAACCATCGTTCGCCACGTGGCAAGGTTAAAGGACTGAGCTCCAAAAACGTAACAGTTTTGCACTTTGATACGTAAGTGAATTATCCCTTTCGAGCTCTGCCCTGCGTACCACATGACGTATGAGTGATAAAAGCGGGCAAAAGGGAAAGTAAATTGCATTTGGCTGCATGGCAAAAGCTGCACGGCTTGGGGAAATTGAGAATTTCGTTACAGAGTTAATTAAACGAGTCCGTTGTACCAGTCATGTTTGCCATAATAATAACTAATTGAACAAAGCAAGTGGGAATTTTCAGATTTTACCTCAATTAATTAAATCAATATTGGCTTAGCTGTCCTTAGTTTAATACCTTTCGTTTATCTCTGTCAGGCCACTCAATTCAGGCATCCTTCAAAGGCCATTGAAAATTTCCCAATCAGATTGCCTGGCCATCACTTGGATGCACAATAATTCACCAATTATCAGGACATCCGAGGCGTATGATGAGAAACAATACCTTCTATGTCGAAATTTTCATTGTTTAGTTTCTATTTGTCCCTATTATGACAAGGACATTGCTCAATCTTCGCCAAGACAACAGAACAGAAAAGAGGCCATAATTTAATGACATTTTCGCACAATGCAGGGATTAGGACAACCTTATTAAATTCTTCTCAACCCCAAAACTCTGTATATGCTAAGCAGTAATTGTTTTGCATTCTTTTTGGGCGGCCTTATGGGTAGTTTTTTGTACTTTGGGCGCGGTTACGGGCAATTTAACACCTTGGATGCGCATTAAATTAACGGAAAACCACACCGCAACGCCGTCATTTCGAATATCAATCATACAGCCCGTTGGCCAAGTGCAAAAATCGTTCAACATGGCTGAACTCTGACCCGCCAGCCAGCCGCCCTGTGGCTTATTCCCTGGTTTTACTTTTACCCCAAACCAAAACCCATTTCCGACCCTGATGCTGACAGCATAATTTACAGTTTTCAGCGGATTAATCGGAAAATGTGCAAAATGCCCGCGGCTACTTACAATTTCAATTTACTTTCAGTTAGTCCTCGCCAAGGAAGAGGTAGTGAGTGAGAGTCCTGCAAGCAGACGAAGCAGAATTTACATAAATTTAATAAAAACGAAAAACGAAAAATGAATTAAATTGTGTCAAAACCCAGCGCTGCGGGCTGATGGAAACAGGAAACATCGTCAAAGGCATTGTGTCAAAAGTGTATTCATAATGAAAATGTGGGATAAAAAGCGATGCACTGGAATGTTTTCGAGTGGAGGAGGGAGGGAATGCTTTTAAATAGTTTGATAAAATTAAATCATACAAGTTTTTCAAAAGGAAAGTTGCCAGAACATCAAGTGCAGCAGTCTTCCAACATCCATTGCAGTTGTTCCTACTTCCGGTCAAATCAGCTAAGCTCCTGTGGAGACCGGATTTTTGTCGACTTGGCACAAAGATTAGTTATGCTTGTGGTTGGCCAGGAAACGCACCTTTTTTCTAGCCAAGTTGCCACAAAGGAGTACGCCGGCAATAAATCATAAAACCCACGCTGCCCTGGCCAGGACTTTTCCCTGGCTCTCGGCATTGTTGTGACAGCTGGTCTTTCCTTACCGCAGCAGCATGTCCTTGCAACACCTTCCCGTTCCTTTATCCTGGCTCAAAAATCCAGCCATGCAAATTATGTTTAGCCCTTTGTGTGAACGCATTCAACACACTTGTATAAATATTTTTGATTGTCCTTCTCAACTCTCGGACCATTTGGCTTGATTATTTTGTTTATATTGTGCCCTCACAGAATTTTTGGGCACTGTTTTATTATTCACTCGGACCCCAAAAAGGATGCGGTTTCGCCAACACATTTCTACGGATTTTCATAAGCGTATATAAGGCTTGACTTGCAAATTGTTCCCAGCACTCTGTTGATTTAATCTGAATATTTTCCCAGACTGGCATAACAAAAGCTGCTTTTCGTCTTCAACTTGGCTAAAATGCCCGAAGGCTTGTGTGGAGTATGCTATGATTTAAGCCAGCCCCCAAAGAGTTGAGCTGAGAAGAGACTGTGATTTATAAGGGCCAGACCTCAAGGCGTCTGCTTACACAATCCAAATATTGCCAGGACAACAAATGAATGTCAATAAAGCCAATTCTGCGGTCTAATCATATTTGAAACCGGATACGTAAGTGTTACAAACTAAACAATCAGGATGCACTTGTGTTTCCCCAACCCCGCCTGTTATTCAATACTTTGTCGCCTTTCAACTGACAAATTGCACAACATGGCTGCGCCTTTAGTGTTTTTTTGGGGGTTGGATTGGGGCGAATTGGCCAAAGCAATTGCGTTAGCAACTTGTCTTCTTCGAGGGATTCGAGAACTTGGCCAAAGTTTTGTGTCTTTTGTTGATTCGACTTGCGGGACAAGTTTTTGTCATAGGATGGGCCAAAGCAATCGGGATGCAAATGCAATGTGGGGGAGATGGAGGTACGTGATAAATAATCGAGAACAAAAAGCCACGGAACTCGCAAGAGTGCTATCGACCGAGTGCACACTTTATTGCGCAACACTATTCTCTTTTCAATTTTAGATTTTTTCTTTCTCCTCTGAGATTTTCAACAAGATGAATAGGGGTAGCGAGATTTCTCGTCCACAAGGACATTCTAAGTGAATAAATATGAATTTTAAATTCCAGGCACAGAATAATTCTGGTAATGTGAAGATTAGACATCGGATTTTATGTTAAATGCTCAATTTCACTACACAAAGAGAAAGATTCAGTTATGTTGTTCTTGAATTGAGAACATTCGTTCTTAAAAACCATGTAAGCTAATTTTGGTATAATTTTTTCAATATTAGAACAAAGTGTTGAGAAAAGAAAGGTTAAATTGAGTTTATTTTGATAAGTATTCACTACTGACTGGATTAATAGTTAATTAGTTGTTAAGATATATAATGTGAATACCGTCAATTCAACTTGATTCAAGCTCAATAAAAACATTTTCAACTTAATCGATTTATTTTTAAGAACAATTTCAATTCATGAAAATTTTTCTGCACACCTTTTTATATTTTAAATTTTTATTGAAATCGTCAATGTAGACTTAAAGTAATTTAATGCAAGGCATTTCGTATTCCTCAGCTTGGTGCAGTTTTGCTCTACTTCCCTTCGAGAAGAAACAAAAGACCAGCCAGCAAGGACAATGCCAGCCTGCGGGCTTTTGAGGGTTAACACTGATGAAGCGAGGCTGTTGCATTGATGCCATTGAGTAAGAAGGTCTGTTGGTCGGTTGAATGGCAAGGTCGTTCTAGAAGCCCCACAAAACCCAAAAAGCGAAAGTAAAACAAAGGACTGGAAATACACACCAACTGCATAATAAAATAAGTCTGAAATCTAGAACAAACAATTCAAGACAGCAAATCGGTATTATATTTCTATCGAATTTACTCGCCAATTGAAGCCAAATAAAACAATCCCCCACTCTTAGTTAAGTGGAAAAAGTTAACGAACCACACTTTTTCAGACATTCAAGGGAAAGGTCTATTACAATGCCTAAGCGATCTTCTTTATCTTTGAAATATATTTTCTTTTAAGTTTGTGCCCAGGCGCAACACAATTCTCAGAGGCAAATAATAAAAGAAAATATTTGTTTTTCCTCTCCTTATTCTGAGAAATAAAATGAATGTGCCCATTAGGTTGTGCAAACAAACAGGTATATGGAAAAAATACGAAACTTTTGGTATGTGTAACAATTTTGTCTGCCTGTCGTGTGAATTGAGATGGCAAACAGTGGCCAACACCATTACCATTGTTCACATAAATTATGCACTCGTCATTCTCAGGGTATAGATTCCAGGGCTCCCTTCTCAGTGTTTGGCAATGTTTTGTCTGCCCATCTGTGGGAACTGGGGATGCTTGAGAAGATTCAGCAAAACTAACTCAAACTAAATCCTACTCTAAACGATTGATAACAATATTTAAGGCATTTAAAACCACTCTTTAAATATGTGTGGCAAAACCACACATTTCTTTTTGTATAAAATAAATGACACATAACAAAAAAATCAGCATTTTTCTATTACATTTTTGAGTCATACCATTTGCTGGCTTATAAAGTCAAAACTATGTATTTTCCGCACATAGTTTAAAAGTTACAAAGTTTCGTTATCACACTTTTTTCCATGAATACCATTTTATAAAGGCAAAAACTTTTCATTGAGGCTACATTATGGCAGCTTTTTAATTTATTTCGAGAGCCTCTTTTTATGAGAGAGTGTTTTCATAAAATATATATATATATATTTCGTAATGACACTACACTTTCCCATCTTGGGCCAATTAAAGCGCCTCGTGGTCTGGTCATCATCATATTCATTAAGCAACTACTCGGTCATTTTACGGTAGGAGTGTTCCTGGCAGAACTCCTCGAAAACCTATTAGCAAGGCTGGCCAACAAGCTCCATTTATAAGGACGTCTTCAAAAAAAAAAGGGAGAGGCGGAACAGGAATTCCTGTGTAGCAATCAGCAGATTGTGTAACAGTCTGCCGTTCATTTCCCTATTTATTCAACAAGTTCCGCCTGCTAGGAACCCCAAACTAAGGATGGGACTCATTCTGACAGGCCAAGGACTTGGGACTTCGAGAGTCCTGCGGCACTTTTATGCGCTTATAATCACATATTTCACTTCTCTTCCTCTCGGCGGGCATCGATTTGTTTGGCATTTGTAGGAATGCCTCAAGGATACGCCCTGCGACTTGTGATCCCTTATTTTAGTGGCATTTATTTTGTCACACGTTATTCACGACGAGTCTGTGGGCGCCTAGCGGAGGACCCATAAAAATCCTGTGAGCCCGTAAGTGCGTGTTTATTTGCTAAGGCAGCTAAGGTCCTTGGTTCTGGCCCAAACCCCCCTCCACCCATGTGTTTTTTGGGTCTGGCTTAAAGGTATTTGCCGTTGCGGCACGTTATCGAAGGCTTGCAGGCCACGGAGTCGGAATCCCCGGCATCCTTGTAATTGGGGCAAGGGTTTTGTGTGTGTGGCCTCTGTGTATGACAAACTCATTTCATATTTATTAAATTTGTTGCGCTCCGGTTTTATTTTCATTTGGCACGTACCGAAAGTAAAATAAACATCGTGGCAAGTGTTGCCCGCGTTTTCTTTTTCTCTTATTTATTTTTTTAATACACTTCCTGGTAGCGGTAAAGATGATATACGAATTTCTTACTAAGCTTTGTTTTAATTTGATTCAAAATTACAAATTCACTGGAATTTTAACGCCATGTTCTGAAAGTTTATGGCCAACTTTGGCTTCTTTCCGCGTTTTTTTTTGTTGTGGCCTAAGCTACATGAATATGTAAAGTGTGGCCATAACTTCGTGGCACGCCCACCCCTTCGCCCATCGCAGTCCAAACTATGTAATTAAAAAGTTTGGCAAAGAGATTGCCAAGCCGAAAAAATGAGAGGGAAATATCTTGTTTGCATATTTCCTCGTCAGCCAGAAATAATAATTAAAAGCAAACCAACAAAAGCGCTGGCCAACAATAACGACTGTTATTAAACCAATTTATTGTTGGTTCACATTGGTTTATTTTCGACCTGGGGGTTTTTAAACAACTGCGTAAACAAAAGCCAGAGGCTGTTAATTTGATTCCATCTAGATCCATTCGAGCACATAAATAGTTTGCAAAATGAATGTGAATTGTTTTGGGAATTACTAAATGGACCAATGAGTGGTTAACTAATGGAATTGGGTTCGAAATTCACCCAGTTTTCGCCGTTTTCCCAGCCAGATAAATTCGCAATCATGGCTCAGAGGTTCTTGTCTCGGCTTTTGACTCAGTTTTTAAGTTTTCTTGGCCAACTGTGAACTTTGCGACCAGTTTGTTGTTGTTTTGTTGTAGGGGCAGCTGCTTTTGATTATTATTTTCGTTGTTTTGCGGTCAGTTCATTCAACTCACAATTGCTTCTTTTCTTTTTTTTCTCTTTTTGGGAGGAAGAACCAGACTAGACTGGGTTTATAAAAGAAGAATTTTCGGGAAAAAGAGCCTTTTCATCGTTTTGTAAACCAACAATAGGTTATGCAATATTTGTTT